CTTTCTTAGCAGATTTCAATTATATGATACAGTGTTATCAACTATCATCACCATTACATTCGATCTTCAGTCATACATTAGATCCTGAGACATTACTCATCTTCCGGTTGAATGTTTGTACCCTTTTACCAACCTGCCTCTGTTTCTCCCACCTCTCAAGCTCTGGCAACCACTTTTCTACTGTTTTTACAAGTCTGGCTTTTTGTTTTGTTTTGTTTTGTTTTTTAAAAGAGTCCACATATAAGTGATGCCATGCAGTATTTGTTTTCTTTGTGCTATCATAATTTGTTTTCAAGTATATTTATATAATAACTTCCATAATATGTATTCATATAACTTTTTTATCCTATTTCAGAAACTTGTTAAATTGCAAAATAATGGGATAGGAGTTCAACTGAGATGGTTGGGGGAGGTAGGTTTCCCAGAATGATCATTTAATGTGCTTTGCTTGACATGTGAAATCTGATGAAAGAGAACATCTTTCGACAAAGATTCTGGTGAGGCAGATGCCCACTGTTAGCTTGGACCCAATAGGGAGGGGAGCTGTATTGGAGTGTCCTTAAAACCATGGAGCGCACATAAGTTGAAATTAATGGAGGATACACCGATGACTTCCAAGTCCTGTGGTTTTTATAGTCTGGATTCACTGTAGTTCCTTAATATATAAGAAATAGAACCTTCAGAAGTTAAACCACTGAGGGAAAGCACACAGTTTTCCTTTTTTCCTGGGCTGGCCCTAGTTTTATGAAAATGAATTTCTAAGCATCTTTTCTATGCATTGGGGCTTCTTGGCAAAAAGGGAAATCTGTGTAATGCATTACCTCTGAGCTTTTTCTTAAAGGGCTCAAGGATAGACATATGGATAATGGCTTAAAAATATAAATCTGGCCTTTCCAGTCCTAGAAATCTTCCTATCCAAGAGGTGCTTTTCCCACTTGCCAAAAAATGTAGGGCTATATACTCATACTCATAAAGGACCAAGACAAAATACATGATATCTGACATTAAAAAAAAACAAGAAACAAAAACCAACCCACTGTACTTTTCTTGACTATTTCAGCCCTGTGATCAGACAGAGTGACTTGTAGTCAAATCTAGATGCCAACTTGCAGTGCCAGCTTCCAGCCACCAAGCCTATAACTAAGCACTTTTGTTTGGTAAAATTAAAGAAGGGATGCTGTTCCATAAGATATTTTGTTCTATTTTTGTACCTGCAGTTCACCTAGGAAAATGGCTGTCACTTGGTTTTCTCACGTACTTATCCCACATTTGCCTGTCTGTGTGGACGTGTGTGCTTAGGGGAAGAGCAGACTTACGCTGTTGTCGTAGAAACAGTGATACACAACAATGCACCCCCACCCCAGTGTAGACTTGCTCTGCTTTCCAGCAGTATGTTTGAGACAACACTGGGGGGTTTGACACTTTCTGGTTTACGTACACATATAGGTGGCAATTTAGAATTGATGGAGGCTCTGTTAGGAAAAGTCACTGCCAATATAAGATTAGTTTGGAAAGAGTTCCATCTAAACTGATCTGAAGCCTTCTTTCACCAAGCGTGCAAACATGTATGAGTTAAATAGACACTTAACTGGGATACGCCTCACACAGCAATGTAAGGATTGCGCAGAGATAATCTGCATAGTCAAAATTTTCACAAATGCTCTGATAGAGTGATAGGTGTCATTCATGGTGATAACTACATTTTTATGAAGTGGAGAATTGTGGAATACTTGCTAAGTCTTTCTTGGTAAAATGTAAGTCCTTCAAAGCCAAAGACTGTTTTTGCTCATCTTTATATTCCCAGCACAGTGTCTGGTGCAGAATAGACACTTAATGCTCATTGAATGAACAAGTGGGCGAATGAAACTCCTTCCTTAGCAAGATTATTTGAAATGAAGAGATTAAAATGTTTCCTGGAAATAGAAAAAGCACATGCAGGCCCATGCTTACTGCTCTACTTTGATTGAGAAGGAAATTGATTTTTTTCCCCTGTATTTTTAGAAACCCGATCACTTAAAAATTACCCTCTTCCTTAAAAAAAATGTACACGCATTGTTAATGCCACGTTAGCTTCCGATGTGATTTCTAAAGAGCAGTCAAAGAAAAAAAACAAGATCCTTTTTAGCTTCCCTGACAACCATTGTCCAGTAGATCATAGAAAGATACACAAACCCTTTTCCCCCGCGTGCACAGATACGTGTGTTGGGGGTGGTGGGGTGGAGAATGATTCAGGGCCAGAGAGTCACTTAGTTCACATTCATTAAAACAGGAGCAGAAACACCTTTCATTCTAGAATATTATTTTTCATTTATTGGCTTTTTTGCCATACTGATAATTTTGCCTAAATTACCTGTCACAGAAGGCACATAGATAGATGATGCTTATCTGTGATCCTAATCATAAATGGAGTTTATATTTATTTAGGAGGCTGTGAAATTCCATTTGCCTTGTTAGTGCTATAACTAGGGAATTCACTCTTCAAATTCATCTTGCATACCAATAGTCTTGTTGAATATATTTCCCGATATGAGAATCAGAGAAATTTATTGGTTTGGCTTTTGGCCTTAGTACCTTGTATATAGCAGTGCATTTTGAGCTCGTTAATCAGTACCTGGGTAGCCCTTCCCCTCCAGCGATCTTTAATCAAGTAGAAAGAAGTGCTTTGGAGATTTTTACTGAATGGATGGATATGGAATCTCTAGTGGACTTCCCCTAGAGATTTCCCTCAATTTTTAATCCTTTGTGGAGAGTAGGGATAAATGGTAGAACAGAACATTTTAGAGTATTGAGGCTGACCTAGCAGGAGAGATCGAACACAGGAGAACTTAGGAACAAATTATAGAATGCCACCAGGGCTGATACTGCATTTCAGATGCACCGGTCAACATAGAACATGTTTGGGGCAGCTGGGTGGCTCAGTCGGTTAAGCGTCTGCCTTCAGCTCAGGTCATGATCCCAGGGTCCTGGGATCGAGCCCTGTGTCAGGCTCCCTGCTCGGCTAGGAGCCTGCTTCTCCCTCTCCCTCTGCCCCTGCTGCTCCCCCTGCTTGTGCTCTCTCTCTCTCCTGACAATAAATAAAATCTTAAAATTGTAGAAAGCCATCTCTTTAAAAAAAAAAATGTGATCCTAGAGCATTTGATCCCAGGATAATTTTAAAATTTGCTGTGTAAGCCCAGAGCATTAAAAAAAAAAAAAATGTGATGTGTAGTATAAGGCAAGGGTCATAAACTGTGGCCCGTGGGCCACATCCAGGCTGCTGCTTGTTTCTCTACATGAAGTTTTACTGGGACACAGCCCCACCCAATCATTTATGTATGTCTGTGGTGGATGACATCAGGAGGAGGAGTTGCAGCAGAGATCCTATGACCTGCAAAGCCTAAAATATTTATGACCTGGAACTTTATAGAAAAAGTATACTGACCCTTGATAGAAGGTAAGGGCGAAAAAAATGAGTATAAAAATGAACACGATCAATTTGCAAAAAATTGTGAGTAAAATAGGCGTTCCAAAGAAGCTAAAAAGTTAGCATGTTGTTGAGAGATGGGGATGACCTGTCCATTAAAGACTAGAATGCTGACCTGCATTGAAAATAAGGGAGAACTATGTTTCCAGAGACTCGGAGCCCCTGACTCAGCGTCGAGTTGCCGGCTCGAAGTCTGTGACTTGAACAACATTGGCTCAGGACGGGACCTGCCTCTGACCGTCATTTATGTTGTGCTAACCCTGGTGGAACTTGAACACTCACCAAATGTCCTTCTTCTTGGCAGGTGGAGTGGATCCAACAGCAAGTGGTAAAAAAACGGACAAAGAGGGATTATGACTTCAGTCGTGCCCAGCCAACTTACTTCAACGATCCCAAGTGGCCAAGCATGTGGTATATGGTGAGGAGGCCTGGCCTGGGGCGGTGTTGTGCAGGAGACGTCTTTGGGGCCTGGGAGGACACACAAGCAGTGAGCAGGGACCCACCATGCCTGATGGCCTGTGCTATTTTCTGATTCTTTTTGGAACTTAGTTCTTCGGTTCTAAGGAAAAAGAAAAGGGATTTGGGACTTAGAGAATTTCTGTTTGAGGGCTTACTCTGTGTGGCTTTCTAAATCTGAGCCAGAGGATAGAAAACTACACTGAGGCGCAGACAGACACCCTTAGACCTATCAATAATCCTGTTCCTCTTGATACCCATTTCCTCCGCCTTGAAACCAGTCTGGGTAGTGGATACTGGCTCTTGGAAATTACTACAATGAGCCTGCCGGTAAGTAACAGATTCCTGACTTTCGTCATCTAATATGTGCCTGCTCACCTGAGGTAATCGTTTTAAAAAACTAGGGAAAATAATTTTTTAAACTAAGGACAAACGTAATTGGACAGTGAGTGTTCAGTGGTTCAAGCAAAAACTTGCAGTGTGGGGAAGAGCTTTCCACCTGTCCGCTTGACATTGCCTCCTTTGCAAATCTGTTTCTCTAGTCTGAGGGTTTTAGGATCCTGGAGAACTATGTTACTTATTATTCTTCATGAAATCCCCATGTCTCCAGTTTGCTCTGTAATCTACAAAGATACTTTTATCTTTTTTGGAAGCCTTTATTGCTCATTATTGCCAGGGGGTTTTCCCCTAATCTATTTTATTTTTTGCAGCCCTTTCTCTGCTTCCCTGCAAATCCATAGCATTGTGTAAACCTGTCTTAAGCTTTCCCTTTCATTCCTTCCGCCTGGGGTGGGGGGAGGGGCTCTTCCTGCCCTTCCCCACCCCCCTTAGGGGGTACTCGCCCATTCTTCAGGACCCATGCCTGAGGCCTGCTGCTTCAAGTCTCCCTTGTCCTCCCCTATCAGCTCTTTCCTTCCTCTTCTGTCCACGGCCCTGTGTCTCTGCTACACATGGCATCCTTCCCTTGGCTCTTTGTTTCTATCTGTCAATATTTTAATCATACTCCTGTTACATGGGCGAGGCATGGGGTCTCTTCTATCCCCCAGAGAAGCTGACCTAGCACCTCAAATGCCAGAAATTTGTGCTTATTTTGAGATGGGTGAAAGTGGCTGGCTTCTCCCCCAGTTTCCCTTTTCTCAGCCTTACCCAGAAGTGGAAGGTTGTGGAAACATTTTGGACCCAGAGAGAATTTTACATAGAAAACTCTTTAAGGCGTAACAAAAAGAGAGAGAGAGAGAGCGCGTGCTATAAAGCTAAGTTCAACGGGAGGTGGGACTCTAAATAGCCTTTGAGTAGAAAACACCTGAGGGGACAGTAAGACACTTGACAGCTCCTTAGCTCTAAGACCAAGGAAGGGTGTACCTCATGGGAAGGCATTAGAATGAGTGTTGGCAGGACCCAAGGAGCTTTGTCCAGGCTGACAAAATGGTAAGAGTGTGTAATGGGATTAAGAGATAGGATGCAAGCGAAGTCCCTCTCCACCTGTGTTCCTCCTTGCCTTACATTTCTTCTTGGAAGAAAGAGCCAGACTGCTGTTTGCACCTGTCCCACTGGATGGTAGACATGTAGGGCAGCTTTCCCTGACCCTCTCCTCACTCCAGAACGGCAGCCTGGGATCTGGTAGGCACCATGGCCATGACATTAGCATGCTGGCCAGCCTGTAGAGCAAGATCTCTACCCCCAAGAACCATTGCTGTTTCTTTGGAAATTTCCTTTCAGTATGAGAAAAGGTTGAGGGGAGAGCTTTTGCTTGAGCATTTAAAATGTTGGGTGTTTTTGATAACTCAAATAGGTCACATTTTTACGGAGGACTTCCTGTGTGCCAGGCAAATGTGCTCAATACTTTGAGTATGTTTGTAATGTAGTGTGAACAAAAGTGTGTATATGAATATTGGTTGTTTTCAGAGCGAGGAATCGGTAGCTCCTGAAATTTAGACAGCTTGCCTAAAATCACCCAGCCTGAAAGTGGTAGAGCAGAACTGCCAAACCTTTAGGCGGGTTGATGGTGTCTGTGGGACTGACCTGGCATCCTGTCCCCACCCTTCTGCTATTTACGAGCACTATCAGAAAAAGACCTTCTATTCCAACCTTCCAGGAACTTCTTCCCATGGAGAAATGGCTAAAATTCAAGGCAGAATGGTGTGGGTGCCATGGTGGATGAACAAGGTCTCTTGGAACAACTAAAGTGTTTCAGAGCTTCCTATTAAGTAGTTGATTTTCCCTTAACCAAAGGGATGGGAAATCGGTTACACACCTCAAGTTTATCTGTCAGGAGTAAGAGGACAGGATGAGAGCTAGAACTTCAAATCCGCCAACCTGGATGCAGATCCCCATTGCTTCACTTACTGTGCCCATGAGTGGATCGCTGTAACTCGCCTCAACTGCAAACTAATTGTATCTGGTTCTTATGTATCTGTTAGCTATTGCTGTGTAACAAATCACAGAACTTAGTTTTTAAAACCATTACTTCATGGGTTCTGTGGGTTAGGCCATTCAGACAGGGCCCAGCAAGGATGGCTTCTCTTTCTGTGGTGTCTGGGGCTTAAGCTGGATGACTCAAAGGCTTGGCTACAGCTGGAGGATTCACTTACAAGTGGCCTAGTTACTGGCCTCACCACAGGGCAGCCTGAATGTTCTCTTGAGATGGTGCTGGCTTCCCCCAGGGCAAGTGATCCAAGAGCTCATGTTAGAAGTGGTGATGCCTTTTATCATCTAAGCTCAGAAGTCACAGACCGTTTCTTCTGGAATTTTCTATCAGTCACATGTGCCAGCTCGGATTCAGCATGTGAGGGTACTGTATGGAGAGGGTGTGCATGTTAGGAGGCATGAGGAATGTTTGAGAAGCTGGTCACCACAATTAAATGAAGTACTACCTGAACAGGCTTTAGCACAGTGCCTTTTCTGACACTGGAAAACCGTCAGTAAATCTTAACTGTTATTTCTCTCTGACCTTTTACTGCAATACATGCTGTTTCCTTCTGTCTGTTGTTTAAACCGTCGCTGGTCAAGGAAGAGGGGGATCATATGTCCAGTGGGAACGCTTCAGAGCATTCTGGTGGCACATCAGTGACCCAGCTGGGGCAAGGTGCTGATTTTCTTCTTCCTTTCTCTGAGCCCCGGGCCCTGCTGCCATGTTTCTGAGGGCTGCTTGGCGAGTCTCCATAGGGTCCTGCCTTCAACTCATTAGCCTGGGCCCAGGCCTGTCATTCTATATTTATCACAGGAGAGTGGAGATTAAAGAATGGCATGAAGTGTGCCTGAGTGTCTCTTTTAATTAACTTAAAAGCTTTGCCCCTGTTGCTCCTCCCCTTGGAAACTGGTGTGTGAAACCATTATGTCTGGCCTTGGGGCTTGGGCCATTTATCCAAGGAAATGTACATCTGCATCTACAGGAGTTGGTTAGGGAGGAGACGGTGGCCATAAAATTACTCCTCTGTCCTGAAACACTGTGCTCAGGCTTCCCGGAGTCGGGAGGGCCCAATCCTAAAAACGGCACTCATTCTTCTTGCATTGACAGACTTCCTTCTGTAGGAATTCTTTGTCTGGCAAAGGGGGCAGGCACTGAGGATTGACGAAAACATGATTTATGCTTCCTAAGAAGATCAGTAAAGCAGGGGAGGAATATGTAAGCACAAACAAAAGCGTGTTGGGCAAAGGACTCCTTCCAGAACTTTCTCTGGGGTCATGTACATACATCCAGCCTCTGCTTCTTGGGCTTTGTAATTCTTGCTTGCAGGTCTGCTGCTTCCGTTGGAAGAAACTAAAAGCTCTTGAGTAGCTTTTTAAAACCTATCCAAGCTTGGGGTCCCCCCATCAAAGATTCTTGATGTTTTGGGGAGTATGGCACTGGGGGTGGGATTTCATCGGCACGAACTCAGGACTGAATGCTGTGTGACTCAGTGCCCTGAGTCTGGTATGGAGTAAATGCTCAATAAATGCTAATCAAATCAGTAGTTGAGTAAACTGAACGAAAAGCAAATCTGTGATGAGCTCCATAGTAGAGAAAATAATCGCTCACATTTATTGAGTGCTTAGTATGTGTTAAGCATGTTGCCAAACTTACATGTATCGTCTTCCCGCCAGTGTTCCAGTGAGCTAGGGACTAGCACTGTCCTCGTTTTACAGCTGAGGAAATTAAAGAAGAGATAAATTAAGGGGCGCTTGGGTGGCTCGGTTGGGCGACTGCCTTCGGCTCAGGTCATGATCCTGGAGTCCCGGGATCAAGTCCCGCATCGGGCTCCCTGCTCAGCAAGGAGCCTGCTTCTCCCTCTGACCCTCCCCCCTCTCATGTGCTCTCTCTCATT